TTTATATGTAGCTGCTCTCCTAAGCTGTTAATTTTTAAAATCTTTTTATTGATTCTTTGTTAATTTCATACCATGCACCCTAATCTTGCTCATCTCTCTGTCCCTTTATATCTGTCCTCTGCCCTTGCAAACCCCCCCAAATAAAATAAAATAAAATAAAATAAAATAAAATAAAATAAAATAAAATAAAATAGAATGAAAAACACTTACCTGGGTGCAGTGGCACTTGTCTATACTCCCAGCACTCAGGGAGGCAGAAGCAGACAGATCTCTGTGAGTTCAAGGCCAGCATGGTCTACAAATTGAGTACAGGCCAGCCAAGGCTACACCGAGAAACCCTGTCCCAAAACCCTCCCCCACCAAGAAAAAGCTATAGCATGTCATGGTGTGCCCCACATTATAACCTTTTGTCCATGCATCTTTACTTGAAAATATGCATTGCAATGAGTCCTTGATCTTTGATCTGGTTTGAGGCCTCTGGCTTCTGCTACACCATCAATACTGTTGTTGGCCTGTGTCATGGATCTGCCTTTTCACACACTTCAGCAGATCATAGATGGGGTAGATGTTGGTGTGGGCCAACTCCAAGCCCCGGATCTGGGCCTGGGAGAGAGCTGACCTGATCAGCCCGCCAGCTCATCTGGGCCTGCAGCGAGGTGAGCCCTCCGGCGCTGCCCCGCTAGCTCACTCCGTGCCAGAGCTGGCAAGGTGCAGAGCCAGCCCTCCTGCTCTCGCGTCCTTGGGGCCCGGCTCTACTGTGCTGCCCAGAGGAGGTACAGGGCCTCTTCTCCTTGGTGCTGCAGTCAGTGAAGGGTGGGGACAGCTCTCCTCTCCTGCTCTCATGACCTGGGTCGGGAGCAGCTCACCCACCTGCCTCAGGTGGAGAGGGGTTTGGAGGGTGCGCAGCTCCCTCACCCACACCACCCCGGGGCAGAAGAGGAGAAAGTCCAGCTTTCCCAGCTCACCAGAACCCCAGCTCTACTGTGCTGCCCAGTCAAGGGGCAGGGTGCCTCAGGCAGCAGTCAGACTGGGACATCTGCATGGCCTTTGGTGGTAACATAAGCCTGGGACATTGACAAAGACCCCCAGCTGCCATAGAACCATGGACCCTGACCTAACCCCAGCAGCAGCCTGGGCCCAGATGTTCCCGAGGCCTCAGGTGGCAGCGCAGGCCATTCAGATCAGCATGCACTCCACATGAACAGCCCTCAGATAGCCACATAGTGTCTGGTGGCAACCTATACTGTGGACATCGCTTGGCCTTTTGTGGTAACTTGGGCCCAAGACATCAACACAAACCCCAGCTGCAGCAGGACCAGAGACTCGACATAGCTCTTGGCAGCCTGGGCCAGGACCTCACCATGGCCTCTTCAGATCTGCCTGTTTCTCACTGCCATTGAGTCTCAGGTTCCACCTTTCTCCACAGTATACAAAGGCCTCAGCTTCACTTTTTCTTTCATTTCTCTACCACGTATGCATCTTTCCCATCTCTCCATCACACATTCATCTGTCTTAGTGGCACTCATGACAGGTGCTTGGGTATCTTTCTTCTAGCTTCCCCAGGCCAGTATGGCAAAATAATAACATTTTTTTTTCTTAGCTTAAATTTTTTTCATTTTAATTTAATTTTGTTTTATTTTATGTGTAGGTGTTTTGCCTAGATATATGTCTGTCCACCACAGATGAACCGTACCCAGGGTGGTCAGAATAGGGTCTTGGATACCCTGGGACTGGAGTTACAGGCAGTGTGGATCTCCATGGAGGGGCTGGGAATCAAATCTGGATCCTCTGGAAGAGCAGCCAGTGCTCTTAGCCACAGAGTCGTCTCTCTGGCATTTTTGGGAGAGGGTGTCATAGCCCAGGTTGGTCTTAACCCTTCAGCAAGTTCAGGCTGGCCTTAAATGTACAATTCTCTTGCCTCAGCCTCGAAAGTGCTGGGATTACAGTTGTGTGCCAACTCAGAAAGGGAAAATTTTATGCTGCTTCTTGAGTTTCCAAAATGTAATCAAACTTATCACTAAAAAGAAAAAGGTGCTGTCAAGATGCTTAAATGGGTAAAGACGCTTGTCCAAAAGTTGTCCTCCAACCTACACACACACACACACACACATAAAAAGGGCTGGTGAGGGGCCTAGAGGTTAAAGTGCTGGTTGCCCTTTCAGAGGCTCCAGATTCAAGTCCCAGCACTCCCATAGAGCCTCACAGCTGTCTGTAATTCCAGTCCTAAGAAAAGCATCACAGTCTGGCGTAGTGGCACACACCTATAATCCCAGCATTCTGGGAGGCAGAGGCAGGTGGATCTCTGTGAGTTTGAGGCCAGCCTGGTCTACAAAGCGAGTCTTTGGCTACACAGAGGAACCCTTGCCTGAGGAAAAAAAAAAAAAAAAGAAAGGAAGAAAGGAAGGAAGGGAACAGAAATCAAACACACTCTTCTGGCCTTCATGGGTTCTGTTCACACATGTTGGGCAGATACAAATATACACAAAATACCTACATACATAATATAAAGCAAATCCTTAAAAATGTTTGTTGCAGGATGTTTGATCCCATTATGAACCCCTAAATTGTGAACTATAAAAACCTGTCTTTTCTTTGGTGTGGTTCAACCCTAACACACACCTTTAATCCAAGAACTTTCTGTTTATTGTAAACAGGTGATTATGTTGTAGTTCAGCCCTAGCACACACCTTTATTCTAAGAGCTTTCTGTACACAGGATTTAATAAAGTTAACCCTAGGTCAAGAGGTAGAGCAAGAAACCCCCTGACAGGGATTAAGCAGTAAGGCAGACTGAGAGAGGAGTGTTAAAGGCATAGTAAAGAAAAAGAAGGAGTGTTTCAGCTCTTTATCCTTTAGCTTTTAGCTCTTTAGCTCTTTGGCTTTTTCCTCCTGGGCTGTCGGGTAAGCTAGCAGGCCTTTTCCTCCTATGATGTGGGCTGAGCAGGAAGATCAGCTAGCTAGGTGCTTTCTCTGCTTTTCAGAGCTAGGACATTTTTACCCCAGCATCTGGCTCCTGAGTCTTTATTGGCAAAATCAAATGGTTGGGATTTTCATTATCTATAACAATATTTTGGCATTCCAATGAGTGGCAAGACCCCATGGGCAGAGAGATCACTTCACTTTGGACAAACTAAGAAGCTATCAGATTTGGAAAGTCATCTGGAAGTACTCAATTAAAGAGTTAAGGATGAGGGGCATAGGAGGAGATGAGGGAGGGAGGCTGGGAATGGGAGAGGAGGAGGGAGGGAGTTACAGCTGGGATACAAAGTGAATAAACTGTAATTAATATAAAAAATAAAATTTTAAAAAAGTTAAGGATGGGAAGTACCATAATAGCAGGCTCTAGGACCCTGTTTACTGCTACTTCAGATGACTTAAATAGGAACAGTAAATGAAAAGCTAAATAAACTGAAATTGACTCATTATCAATTATGATTATTATCATTTTGGTATTTTATACTTTTTCTTAATAGTCATAAGGGCTTTCTGTATCCACTCAAAGAAAAAATCTTTGGACATACGGGAAAAAGAAAAACATGGAAAATGGATTGATAAAGTACAAATCTTAGCAGAAAAATTAGAGAGACTTATAAACTATAATAAGAAAAATACTTAGACACAGATGGAGTAATTTAGGCAAGCTTTAGAAAGACCTATAAATGAGAATAAGGAAAATTCTGAGACACAGAGGAATTTAGACAAGAGCCTACCACACCACTACAAAATAAAGCTGAAAGGGGTCAGTCAAGGTTGTTGGAAAACCAACCTTAGTTTATCCAGTTACTATACAAGACCTACCAGAAAATGATAGGCACCCCCAAGGTTATAATGAAGTTAAATGGTTATGTTAAATTTGAAGAGATTTAAGGAAGCAATTGTCTTCTATAGTATTCATTTTACCCTATGTGAAGCAGATTATAAATTCATGGGCAACTCAGAACAGAATTATCCTCTGAGAAGCCCTAATGACAGGATCCGGGGCAGCTTGGCTCCAGTCTAGCTAATCTAACTCCAGGACAAGCTTCATCTGAACTCAGCCTTAACTAGGCTTGAGTTTCTGTTCTCAGACAGTTCTTGGAAAGCCCCAGGAAAAACCCCTGACTGAGAGCAATCAATCAGTCTAAACTTCAACATCTGGCCTGACATCAGGCAACCAATCACCTTAAACCTCAACATATAGTTTGAGTCAGATGACTGAAGGGTCTGCGTCAGATACAATGGCTCAATACCAGACCTGGAAAGTCCCTGAGCACACATCCAATCATGAACTCTCCTGTATCCCTTAGATCACCACCAGCCAATCAATGTAAAGGTTACCTCACCACTGGGAATTTTCCACAGGGAAATCCCCTAATTGCCTTCAAATTGAGCCTATGTGCTTGCTTGTGGATCACCATTTCTTGAATCTGGTGACCTCTGCATGCTGGAGTTTCTGCAGAATAAACACTCTTTGTAGCAAAGAGTGTTTATTTGCTATCTGATTCTCAGACCCTAACATCCCCCAAGACTAGAAGGGTCTGGCAACAGCAATATTGGAACCTGATCCTCAGTTACAATGGCAATCATAGTGGAAAGATGAATTGAAGGCCGTAGAACAATGAAATCAGGCCAGAGGTATTAATATTTCCCATCATCAGTTGCTAGGTGAAGGTCAATATGCTGATTTACAAAGACAGTTTGAATTTGATGATCACATCTTAGCACTATGTTATGTAGCAGCCTTAAATCCTCCCTCTTCCCGCTATTCTCCTCCCCTATTTCTCAGAAAAGGGGAGCCCTACTATCTGACCCCAGCCTATCAAGTCTCATTAGGACTGCCTGCATCCTCTTCCTCTGTGGTCTGGCAAGGTCCTCCCACCCTCAGGGGGAAGTGATCAAAGATCAGGCAATAGAATCCATGTCAAAGACAGCCCCTGCTCCCCTTACTAGGGTACCCACATGGAGACTGAGCTGCCTATCAGCAACATCTGAGCAGGGGGTCTAGGTCCTCTTCATATATGGAAAAATGTCGAACATTTCACGAATTTGCATGTCATCCTTGCACAGGTGCCGTGCTAATCTTTTCTCTATTATTCCAATTTTCATATATGTGCTGCCAAAAAGAACATATAATTCTATTTTTTTAAGATTTATTTATTTATTTATTTATTTTACGTATGAGTGCTCTATCTGCATGTATACCTGCATGCCAGAAGAGGGCATCAGATTCCATTATAGATGGTTGTGAGCTACCACGTGGTTGTCCAGAATTGAACTCAGGACCTCTAGAAGAACAAGCAGACAGTGCTCTTAATTATTGAGCCATCTCTCCAGCCCCTCCCATGGAAATTATTATGCAGAAAGAAGATAGTCTCTTAGAATGGATAGTTTTAGCACATAAACAGTGTAAAATATTAAAGACTTATGTAAAAAGATTTCTGAATTGATTCTGAAAGGAAAAATGAGACTTCATCAATTAGCAGAAATAGACCCAGCAGAAATTGTGGTACCCTTTACTAATGCTGAAATTGTCTCATTATGGGCAGAAAATGAACACTGGCAAAGAGCTTGCAGTAATTTTTTGGGATAGATTAATAACAAATATTTCAAAATCAAGAGACTTCCATTTATAAAAAGAACTAATTGGATTCTCCCTCATGGTAAAAGGGACATCAATTTCTGGACCATCTGCATTTTATACTGATGCAAATAAATCCGGAAAGGCAGGTTATAAGTCAGGAAAAATAAGTAAAATGGCTGAGAGCCTTTACGATTCAGTTAAAAAATCAGAGTTGTATGCCATTCTTAGGGCATTATGTAATTTTCATGAATCCCTTCATATAGTTACTGACTCACTAGATGCAGAGTTGTTTAACATATGAAAACTGTTGAAGTTATTCCAGATGATTCAGAATTAACTTTACTATTTATTCAACTACAACAAGTAATTAGAAATAGAAATCATTCAGTGTATATAACACACATCAGATGCTATATGAGTCTACCAGGCCTTCTAGCACAAGGTAAGGATGAAATTGATCAGCTGTTCATAGGAAATGTGCTAGAAGCCCCAGAGTTTCATAATAAACATGTTAACAGCAAAGGTTTGAAGAAAGATTTTACTATCACTTGGCAACAAGCTAAGGAAATTATAATGCAATGTCCTACATATTTTTATATAATGAAACTCCATTACTTTCAGGAAGTAACCCACAAAGTAGCCAAAGAAATGAAATTTGGCAAATGGATGTGTTTCATCTTGCATAGTTTGAAAATTTAAAGTATGTGCACCACACCATCGATACATATTCAGGATTTCTTTTTGTTTGTTCATTTTTGTTTTTCAAGACAGGGTTTTTCTGTGTATCTCTGGCCATCCTGGACAATTGTCTTTTTTCTTTCTCTCTCTCTCTCTCTCTCTCTCTCTCTCTCTCTCTCTCTTTTTTTTTTTGAGACAGGGTTTTTCTGTGTGACCTTGGCTGTCCTGGACTTGCTTTGTAGACCAGGCTGGCTTGGAACTCACAGAGATCCACCTGCCTCTGCCTCCAGAGTGCTGGGATCAAAGGCATGCACCACCACGCCCGGCTTCATGTTCGGGATTTTAATGGGCAACTGCTTTAAGTTCTGAAAAGGCTGATTTTGTAATTAAACATTTATTAGAAGTTATGGCTATTATAGGGATACCTGTATAAGTTAACACCGACAATGCTTCAGCACGTATCTAGTAAAATGAAACAGGTTTTTTTTTCATATTACAACATAAAGCATACTACAGGTATACCACACAACCCTACAGGACAAGCAGCTATAGAAAAATCTAATCACACCTTGAAAGACATGCTTAATGAACAGCAGGGGGTAATAAAGGCCCCTGGAGATGGATTACACAGTGCTTTATATAGGATATAATTTTTAGGTGCTAATGAGAAGGGAACAAGAGCTGCAGAGAGACATTGGATAATAGAAAAAAAAAAACTGCTTGAATTAAATCAAGCTGTATATTTTAAAGATGTATTGACTTCAGAATGGAACCCAGGATATGTGTTACTTTGGGGAAGAGGTTTTGCTTTTGTTTCCACAGAAGAAGAAAAACTGTAGACACCATCAAAATTGATAAAGATTGGATTCGAACAGGAGATATTTTCTGAATAAAGAGAGGCAGTACTTCAGAGAGCTTGATCATTCAGTTCAAACTAACTTATAAAGACTGAAGATTTCTTAAGTTAAAAAGGATGTTTTTGCTGTTTGGTATTAAAAACTCAGTTAAGAGATTTAAAATAGGGCTGGAGAGATGGCTTAGCAGAGAGCACTGTCTGTTCTTCTAGAGGTCCTGAGTTCAATTTCCAGCACCATATGGTGGCTCACAACCATCTATACTAGAATCTGATGTCCTCTTTTGGCATGCAGGACTACATGAAGATAAAGCACTCATTCATAAAATAAATAAATAAAATCTTTAAAAAAAAAATAGCTGGTTGGTGGTGACACACACCTTTGATCCCAGCACTCAGAGGCAGAGGCAGGCAGATCTCTTTGAGTTCAGGCCAGCCTGGTCTACAAAGCTATTCCATGACAGCCAGCGCTCCAGAGAGAAACCCTGTCTCAAAATATAAAAAAAAAATATTTTTTTAATGTTCTCAGTAAATTCAAAGAGTAACTACAGTTCAAACTTGTTTTCTACATCTCTGAGCATTGGAGTAATTTGGAGCTATGATAAATTTGGGCAGGGAGCAGTAACCACTGCCTTTAGTGTGCAGACATTACGATCTCTGTGAATTAGTTGTCTTCTAAATTCTAGAGTTACAATAGTCCACACCTTTCATCTCAGAACTTGGGAGGCCTTTAACCCCAACACTCAGGAGACTGAAGCATGCATATCTCTGAGTTCAAGGCCATCCTGATACAGAGCAAGTTCCAAGTAGAGAAAAATCCAGGTATGGTGGTTCACACCTTTAACCCCAGCATTTAGGAGGCACACACCTTTTATCCCAACAATTGGGAGGTTGTTTTACTGGGTCAGTAATAGAGAGATGGGTTGCAGAAAGAGAACTCAGATAAAGATCGAATGAGCCAGAGACTGAGAAGCAGCCAGGAGATTAGAGCAGATTGCTTGAGTTAGTTTGAGACCAAGCAGAGCAATTCAGAGGCAGGGAGAAAAGCCAAATTGAATAAATTAGCTGTGAAAGGAGTTTCAGCCAGAACTGCTGAGTTGAACCAGCCAGCCCAGAGCTCAGTAAGAACACGAAAGGGTGAGCTTATTAAGCTGTAATTCTCAAAGGCTGAAAATATTCTAGGCCTAGGTTAGCAGGAGGAGGCAGTGAGCTTCTAAGACAACAATTGGAACAAGGAAATAAAGAGTTCCTTTTACAAAATTTTACTTAAAAAATAAAAAATTCGGGCTGAGGAGATAGCTCAGTGGTTAAAAGCACTGTCTGCTCTTCCAAAGGATGTGGGTTCAATTCCCAGCACCCACATGGCAGCTCACAACTGTCTATAACTCCTGTTCCAGGGGACCCAACCACTTTACACATGCAGACAAAACACCAGTGTACATAAAAAAAAAATTTACAAATTAAAAATTCAAAAAAAATTACTTTATCAGGAAATTTTCAAAATATGTTTGCTTATTTATTTTGCATAATTTTGGCTTCCTGTACATATAATAAAAAAATCTATGTCTAAACATGTTTAAATGACTTGTTTAAAATTTTTTTTTAATTGTAGCTAGGTTTAGCATATGGCTATAGTCCCAAGTACTTGAAAAAAAATATACAGAGTTTCTCTTTGTAGCCCTGACTGTTGTGGAACTCAGTCTCTACATGAGACTGACCTCAGACTCAGAGATCTGACTGCCTCTGCCTCCCAAGTGCTGGGGTTAAAGATGGGATGTCCAGCTTTATGTCTAAACATTTTTAAATGACCTGTTTAATAAATAAATTTTTAAATTGTAGCTTGGTTTGCCGTATGGCTGCTGTCCCAAGTACTTGGGACAGTTAGTTAGGGTAGTCATGGAGCTCATAAACTCAAGGTCATCCTGTGCAATACAGTAAGAATTTGCTTCAAAGATAAGAAACAGGGTACCTGTTAATCCCAGCACTCGGGAGGGAAAAACAGGCGGAATGATGAGAACAGGCCAAATAAGTGACGATGTAGGAAAGTTTCCAGATCAGACAACAGCAGATTCATGGGCTTTGAAGCAGGCTTTCCAACTTGTAGTGCTGGAAGGGCCAGAGTGGTGGTAGAACAAATAAATCATAGCAAATTAGGTAGGCTCTAGAGCCTGAACACCACTGCTCAAGAGTTTGCACTCTAGTCTAAGTACAGCTTCTTTTTGTCAGTAGCTGAAATGAGCTAAATTAAAAATACATGACAGCTGGGTACGGTGGCACATGCCTTTAATCCCAGCACTCAAGATGCAGAGGCAGACGGATGTCTGTGAGTTCAAGGCCAGCCTGGTCTATAGAGTGAGTTCCAGAACACCCAGGGCTATTTAGAGGGAGCTTGTCTTAAACAAACAAAAGTAACAAAACCAGATATTAGTGCTCTGCAGTTTAGAACACTACCTGCTGTTCTAGAGGACTCAAGGTTAGTACCTGCACCTGCTTTGAGTGACTTACAATTGGTTGGACCTGTATCTCCAGAGGATTCTACACACACACACACACACACACACACAGTGCATTCACATAATTCTTCCTCTAAGTACAATGTGGAGGTTTCTCATTCTTTGTCTTACACTGTTACTTATATTATAATTTTTGTTCTTTGAGACAAAGTCACATTTTGTAGCCTTGAGTAGCTTTGTGGCCTAAGCTGGCCTTGACTGCCAGGTCTTTCTGCGTAGCTTCCCAAGTGTTATTGTTACAAGCTGACATTTTCATATTAGTGTTATTATTCATATAACCTGTAATTGATAAGTTAAGGAATAAAATGTTTGGATCGTAGTGTTTTAGAATGAAATTAGAGTTATTTACATCAATTTTAGTCTTGTTTTGTTTCATCTCACAGTGTATCCCTGGCTGGCCTGTTAACCAGGCTGATTTTGAACTCCCAGAGAGCTACATGCCACTGCCTCTGAAATGCCAGGTTAATGGAGTTCTTCACCACACCCTGCTTGTTTTTGTTTT